AGAATCATCTAACACTCCGCCACTATCAATATTCACCCTTCAAAACGAACACATCTCCGCAATCACAGCGAACTCCTCTTCCCACGAATCCACGAAACACCGCTCCCCAAAGGCAAAAGGCGAAACAGTGAACGCAACCAGGCTAGCAGCCATCGTATCACTCCGACGATCACTCCCATCCCCTAAAGAATCTCCCGAGAAAGTACCCGGAGACGCTTGCGTGGCTGTCTCGTTGAATGGAACGTGGGCCAGGGGTTGACGGTGTCATTGTCCCCACCACGCCTCTGGCGCAGCAGAAGCAGGACGCGGGAGGACGATTCACCCTACGCAAGTGCGCCGAAACGTGACTCCGCGCGAGGGTAGGTCGTTGGAATACGGGGCATCAGAGGTCCCCTCCACTCGGCCCCTGTGCCGCGCATCGATCCCCGGAGACGGCAGTCTGGTCCAGAGCGTCGGGACGCTTGTTTCTATCCGTCGACGACGATTCCGTTTCGCTCCGGCATTGCTCGCGCGCGCGTGCTCCGTTATCATCAACTCCGAGGCGATACGAAAAGCGGAGTCTCCGCGGCGTCCAGCGTCGCCAGTAAACATCGGGGGCGGTCCGGGTTTCGCAATTCGGGCTCGCGCGATTATGTGCTCGTCATCTTTCCGATTCCACGAGCCGCCAGCAGTTTCCGGCCGATCGAAAATTCGAAGCATGTGCCGCGCGCCGCCGCGACACGTGTCCGCCGCTATACGCCGACGACGCATCGCGGAACCGAGACGCGCCGCGGACGCGCTGTGAAGAAGAAAAAACGTAGGAACGATGAACGGTGACCTAAATTAACAGTCATGTGCACGCCCGAGGAGATAAAGGTACGATCCAGAGGATCATCCCGCGGTTATCGATCCGGCCGAGAGTTTTTCCTCTCTGCGTGGCGACGCGTCGAGGGGCTCGACCCTTGTGTGCTTCTACCCTGCGGCGTGCTCCTCGCGCGTGCGGTTTTTATTGTCTTCCTCCTATTGTTCGAGTCGATGGATTTCTGCGACACGCTTCCAGACGACGCTCGGTTCCTCTCGGGGTTGAATTTCGATCGCAGGCCGTTCCGCTTGATGAGACTTCATTGTTGGAACGATTCGGGGATGATTCGGATGCACGTGTTCACTTTCGACTGGGGTTGGGTTTTAAAGGTTTTTATTCGGGATTAACTGTAATCGTTTGGAATGCGAAAGGGTGACGCTCCTCAGATGTGATTAATTCTTTGGAAGGTGTTCGAAGTGATTTGAAAAGTGGAGGTGAAGGGATGTTATTTGTAACAGGTGCAGATTTCTGGAGGAAATGGAGGGTTGATGTTTAATTGGAACGCGATTAGCTTCGTGTTTCTCGGGATTCTGCATTGTGCCGCTTGCTCTTTCGCTCGGAGGTTCTTACGCTTCTGACGGAGAAGCGTATTATTAGAAGAGTATGTGTTCGGTGTGTACAGTTGTTTGATATCGAGCCGTGAAATCTGTGTGTCGAAGAAGTGTTAGCATCGCGGCGGTGCCCGTCGTTTTCTCCCCTTTTCGTTTCGCAGAAGTTCACTGATAAATCCGGGAGACCCACTTTCTTCCCTTTCTTCTTACGGCGAATTCGATTTCTTTAATATCTAATCGGAAGCGTGGTGTGATCCCGAGTTCCAATCGCGTGTGACGCAACGAACTGGAATAGAATTTCTGTGAAAGCTTTGTGCAGAGTGAGTTCTCCTAAATCCTAGTTTATATTTACTTCTCACGGTCCATGTATCGGAGTACCTACCAGGGAAATCAGAATTAGACGCAAAATCTTGCTGTTAGTCCAAGAAGGGGAGGCTACCTTCCTCCGGTTTATATCAAGAGCGAAAATCATCCGATCGGGAACGAAGAAATAGTTCGTCTTTTCTTCTACATATGCGATTTCTTTTATCTAACCGCTGAATCTGCCTATCTACTGCAGACGTTGAACGCATAAAGATAACGGAAACGTTGATAAGCGAGGTTCATTGTCGCATTATTCGGTCTTGACAATTGTACGTCGAACTAATAGTTGTAATTTTTGAAGAAAATTACAGTAAGTATTGTTGACAAGACGTATCGCTCAAATTCGAATGACATTTCTAGAGAATTCAAATTCTCGAATACTAAAGAATTAAAATTTTTAAATACTAGACTTTTAAATACATAGGAATTTTTCAGTGCTAAAGGAAAATTAGTTATTGGTCTTTGTTACTCGAATAAGTAAACTACTTTTTCTTGGAACACCATTCTAGACACGAAGATTTGCTGTTGAGATGATTTTCTCCTGAAACATTCTATTCCACATTCAAAAATTTAACGCTGAAATGACATCTTCTAGAAACATTCTATTCTACTCTCCAAAATTCGACGTTGAAATGATTTGTCCTTATTACCCTCTACTTCAAACATAAAAATTTCACGTTAACAACGTGCGAATGATTTGTCCTTAGAACACTCTACTCCAAACACGCAGATTTCACGCTGACATTCACGAAATGACATTCTATTCTACTCTCCAAAATTCGACATTGAAATGATTTGTCCTTACTCCACTCCAAACACAAGGTTTTCACGTTGTCAACGTGCGAATGATTCGTCCCGAAGGGGTTAAACAAGCTCGTCCCGATAAAGCGGTTAGATACGTGGGTGGACTCCATCGAATTGCATCTGGCGCACACAGCATCTGCCATTCGTGGCCGTCACGGTTTTTTCTACGGGCGGGTAGTCTCTCTGGCCGTCTCTCTCTCTCCCGTTCATTCATTCGTACACCATTCACTTCTGCGCGCGCCATCCATTCACGTACTGACTCACGTGTACACGTGTGTGCACGTCACGGTTGCTCCCGGTGTCATAGGCAACATATGAATTCCGTACGCGTTACGACGATGCAGCGTTTTTCTACGCGCGCTGGAAACTCCTCCTCCGCTTTCGAGAAGTCACGGATAAGTTTCGCCTCGGAGCGATATCGCCGGCTCTGCTAGATAATTTGAAAGTCGTCGGAGTTAATTATAAACTGTGACCGACGTGCGCGTCGTATTTCAATTATTCAGTGTACGATGAACGCGCGATCCGATAGAAAATCACTTGATCCGCGTTGCTCCAACGTTATTCCCACTTTTATTACTAGTATTGTTTTTGTTATTATTAATTCATTAACGAAAGGATATTCTGAGAATATCCATGGGAAGATAATTGAAACATTCGTCTCCAGATGGTTTTCTAATCTATCAGCAACTGCAACTAGTTTTTATAGTACCCATAGCGAAAATGAAATTTTCTGATCTTCTATTTTCCTTAGTGCAAAATTTGGATGTATGAGAAATCTAATGATTGTAGGGTAGTTTTTGTAAGATTCATTAAAATATCTATTATTCCTGGTGCCTATATCTATTATATTGGAGCCTACAGAGTTCAAAGGGTTAAAGACGATTCAGGAAACTTGAGAATGTGTTTTTGACAGTATTACGAGCATGGAGATGCAGTACGCTTCATACGGTCATTTACATCTCAATTAACGCGTTACGCTTGTTTCCAATTACCACCGACACGAAAACAGGCGACGTTACTAAACGAATGTCAGCCGGTATTAAGATAAAGGCGACTCACTAGACGAGGGGAACGCTCATTTTTTTCCTTTTACTTCGGACACTTTCACTGGCTATGAATAGTGGAAGACCGATAGAAGATAGCTGTGTACAGAGGCGCGTTAAATATTTATGAGGAAACACTGACCGAGTGTATAGATGGGTCAAGAGTCTTTCGACGCTTGGCAAAAGTCAGGCTTGCTTTGCTCTGGATTCGTGGAAGTAGGACGGATTCTCCAATAATTGGACTCGTACGATCTCTTTACACTTGGCTTAAATTTTTCATTTGCACGAACTAGATCTCCCTTACCTTGAACGGTCGAAGTACCGGAGGAACAGAGTTGATACGACTACAAATCAAATGAAATATATCCGAAACTCAGAATCGTACTACTTCTTAAATACACAGTCATATATAATTCCAATTATAAGATGAGTTATATCACATTCTTAATTAACACTGCGATCCCCAACGAAATCGAGTTATGATTCAATGGAACAATTGTTTGAAAACATTTCTACCTATATTACACATTGAGTATGACAAAGGTGTATTATTTCAAAACTTCGCATACTGATGCGATATACAGAGTTCAATGTTTAATTTAGTATTAATATTCAGCATACAAAGTTCAATATTCAATTCAATGCTAATATTAAGCATACAAAGTTCAATATTCAATTCAATACTAATATTAAGCATACAAAGTTCAATATTCAATTCAATACTAATATTAAGCGTACAAATTTCAATATTCAATTCAGTATTAACATTAACCGTCAAACTTTACCATTTCACTGTACAAAGTCAACTGACGATTACCAATGACAACATCTCCCAAGTGCAAAGGGTCCACTACAACTAAGCTCATCAATATGACACGAAGAAACATAGAAAATATTACGATATCGAATTTCCTTGTATATTTATTAAGCATACAAAGTCCAATATCGAATTCAATATTAACATTAACCATCAAACGTTACCATTTCACTGTACAAAGTCAACTGACGATTACCAATGACATCTCCCAAGTGCAAAAGGTCCACTGTAACTAAGCTCATCAATATGACACGAAGACACATAGAATACATCACGGTATCGAATCTTTTTGCAGATTTGCGAGGAAACGATGGCGGAGCATAAGGAAAGGCTGGCGGAGCTTCGAGGCCTGGTGGCGCAGATCGCGTCCGACGTCGGGCTCGACGCGAGTGCACCGTTGCACTGCGAGGTGGAGGCCCTCGGGCAACGTCTCGAAGACATCCGCGAGACCTTGTCCTGTCTCGCGGACGCGGCGGACGCCCGAGCTCTGAACCAGGAGCTCGCCCGCGGCGATTTATGTCAGACGAAAAATTTCCTGGACTCGGTCCAACAGGCAAGTAATTATATAATCTTTTCACGGGCCGCCTGCTTTTCGGGAACGGCGGACCACGCGCGGGCCGCGCAATCAACGCCCCGTTTCGTCTCATTTACACGCGTACCCGCCGCCACGTGCTTCGAATTAGGTTTCCGGATCAACCTCGCGATCGATGAACGGCGGACGATACTTTCATCGTTGAGAATGGTACGGAACTTACGCGGTTTCGAGATCAGAGACATTTCCCGGGGGTAAAGTCGCACGATTGATTAACGCAGAGGAAATGACCGGTTTCGATTTGTTTCGCAGTTATCGATAGCTTGGTAGGTTTTGATGTCTCGAGTGATCCTGAAAATAGTTTCGTTTGAATGCTGTAATGTCTGAAGAAACTGGAGATTGTTACAGTTTTTAGAGGGGTTATGTGTTAATCATGTTAAATGCTCGGTAGTTCTAGTGTAAGGACTTTTCAGTTTCGAAGATGAATATCAATGTTTCTAGGAACAGCAGAATAAACTATAAACGAAAAAGAATCATTAGTTCCTCGATTCAGTCAACTGCAAGAAGGTTTGCGCGTTGTTAGACGCATGCTGAATTATTGAACACTTTTACACCTAATTTCCTTAATCTCTTTAGTTTCGAAGATCCAAATGAATATCAATGTTTCTAGAAACATCAGAATAGACTATAGAGATCAGGGAAATGAAGTGTTAATTGCAGAGGAAAAGCGTTCAATAATTCAGTATGTAACAAAGCGTAAATCTACTTTTGCGCTTGATTGAATCGAGAAACTAATGATTCTTTTTCATCGTTTGGTAATAGAATTAAAATAAAGCGTGATGTAAGGAAAGTTCTTTCTTCGCCTTCTCAAGGGAATCGATTGAAAGTTGCGAATGACGAGCAATCGCCGTATGCCCCAATAATTCAAATGAAAGGCGACTCGTGTTGCGAGAGTTTGATTGGACCGTTAATTATGCACGCCGAGAATTATCCCCCTAAGATCTTCAATACGGTCATGCGACTCCGAAGTGATCCTACAGAAGCCGTACTCTCTTGCAATTAGCGAGACAAAATAATTCAGGCACCGGAGATCTCTAGCAACAATTGCCACAGACTCTGTATATTTCCGTAGAAAACGATCCGCGAGGATTATTTACATCGTAAATCACGGAACGATAAGGATGATGCATTTCCGTGGAGGTTCCTCGGGAAATTCGTAAACAGTAGCCCCGGTTCGTAAATATTTTGACTGTGTACAGAGGTACCGACGGAAAACGTGTTGATACGAGCGCTCAGCGTCGCGCGGCGCGTGTTTATTTAAATTAGTAGCAGACGCTGCTGGGAACGCTGGGATCACCGGCTCGGGACACCGCACGAGTTTCCGAAGGAAATCGGTAGTTCAGTTTCGATTTTATGCAATGAACCGTCGTTGAATTCCAACACGTTTTTTTATCGGAAGATGTGTAAGTGAAATCAGAATAATCCCGTTTTGTTAGATGCTAGATCTGTTCATATTCGAGATAGAAATTGATGGAATAATTCACGAGGATCGGATTTCGTTAATTATTCATTCTACGTGGAAATAGCCGGCAGTCTATGAATAGTAATCGTGTTTGATTCGGAGAATTGAAATCGGTAGGATTATCGAGAGATTCCAATGTGTGGATAACATTGCGTATAAACGGAATTCTCCTTCATTAATTCGTGATTTAACCGAGTCCCACGCGCCGCTTTCGCGCTCTTCAGATTTCATATCGGAAAAAGCCGGCGCATTTGAGCGATACGGGCAACTGACGGCGCACCCACGATTTGACGAAACGCGCTCTAGTTTTCAGACTTGTGTGCGTCGCATCGCTACTTTTTTTGCGTATAAGTAATCCAAGTGGTGCATTTTGTATCTCGTTGTTATGTAGCTTTTTAAAAAGTATACAATTTTATTGTTATTCTTATTATTAATTATAAGCTTCGTAATTGAAGGAACGATTTTTCAATAAGAATGTATTAATAATATAATTAACAATATATATACATAATAATATTAACACATTGCATACTGACAACGAGAAATCTCGTTTTTCTATAAAGACACTCAGCTATGTAACTTTGCTAATTACCACAGTATTAGATAAATATTCAATCTGATTCAAATTGATTATCCATTTAAAATATATTCCATAATAATATGATATCTGAATTGTTCATATATACATATAACGATATAAATTGATTTCACTGAAAACTGCCATCGATACAGTTTTCTGAAAATTAAGACAAGCGCTGTCGCGCCGCTTGGATCTCGCATCCCGTTTAGAAAGCGCTATTGCGCTGTTCGGCTCTCTTCGAATGTGTTTTTCGAAAAACCTCTGCTACTGAAACGGTTAATTGGCCCCGGGGAAAAGGATGAAAACGAATCGAACGGGAGCCGTAATTCGACATGAATGAATCGCCGTGATGCATGGATCGCGTCGCGACGTCTGAATTCCTCGGGGAGCGTTTCTCGGAAACGGGGGCTCGAAGGCAACGGATTTCATACGCCGACGAACGCGTTTTCGCGTTCTCTTATTCTGGCCTTCGCGGGTCCGTCTGGAGGCACGAAATGCCTATGATCGTCCGCGGCTGCCGTTCTCGTTTCCCTCGCGGTCCGCATAGCGCCCAACACCTGCGCAATTCACCCCGAAAATAAACATCCGGAATTTGAGAAACTTCTTGGCCCACCTACACATAATTTTAATCATCGGCATCGTCGAGATTCAGTATAAATGTGTCGTTACTCAAAGCATTTCTCTTCTTAACCAAATATCAACACTTCGCGGACGGAGATTCTCTGAAGTATACAAAACCTCCAGCAGATGAAGCTAAATTACGTATCGATTGCTTAAATAATAAATATAAACGGAACTACGTACCAAACTCTTGCTGTTTGGGTAACTCATTTGTTATTTAGTGCTCTAACTATGAAAATCTAATCTCGCTGAAATGTCGACGTCCGTCCGCAAAGGGTTAATCGGAAAGAACAATTCCAGTGTTAGAACGAAGCGTCGACGTTTCGAGATGAAATGTTCGTGTTTGGAAGACCAAGTCGTAAACGAATGATTCACTTACTGGAACAACAAGGGATCGGTAGTTTCCTCTCTTTCAATTGTTCAAACAATTGACGTATAATTCAGCTTCGTCTACCGAAGGTTCCGTACATTCCAAAGAATCTTCGTGCGCGAAGGGGTAAGTTAGAAACGAAATCGGAAGTTGAAAGGAAACGAAACGCAAACTCGTTAGCCCCGTAAATCCGTGGAACAACTGAAAAGCAGAGAATCGTTATCGAAGATTTTAAAGCTTCCGTGCCGTCGTGCTTCACCCAGTTCCATCCGCGAGCGCTAAAAATTCCGCAGTTAACCGGCTCGCACCGAACCTCTTCGTTGCAGCCCTTTGCAATCTTAAGCTTGTCTCGGCAGATGTATCATTGTCTAAAGAAATACTTCCTTCCAAAACTAACAGAACTGTATAAAACCCATCGAACAGACAAGACTATTTCATCGTGTCGTTTATAATTACAATTACACGAATATTCCCATCGAACATCGATCATTATAATCCCCTGCATCAAACCGAACGCTGACTGTAAATCTCTCGACCGCAAAGGCCTAGGGCAGCTGACTTCGGCCAAAATGGCACGCGCTCTGTTTGTTCAACCAACGGTCCCCTTTCGCTCGATGTTTCTCGATCGAGGTTCCAGGGCCGGCTCACTGGCTCCCGCGAGAGAAGCCTAGAACCGTGTCGGAAAAGCTCGGATGGCGGTTATTTTTATAATCGCGCAAGGCTGGGCTCGTCGGGGGAGGACCTTGGCCGAATCCGTGATGGATTCCGGATTATCCGAGACTCTGTTCCAAGGTGATCCGTCCGAAGTTCCCTCCGGACGGACGGACGGCGGCGGTGCCGTTGTGAAATACGCGTCCATCGGTTTCCGGCGTGCCATTGGTGCTTGGCACAGGCCACACGGGCGGATCATTAGCTCCGCACGCGCGTTTATATTTTAATCGCGGTAGTTCCGAAACAATTTGTTGTGTCAAGGCCGAAGGGCTTAAAACCGGGGTGGCAATTACATCAGTCACGAAATCCGCAACAGCTGAACAATCCCCGTTCAGGCCGTGCACCCCTCGCGGCCCGGCAGCCAGCACACTCTTGGCGAAACTTTCGACGCCCGCTAGGAGAGTTGCAGCCCGCGACTTCGATTGCGCCCCGCTGTGTTTCCGATAGGATTTACGAGTAGGATCGGGAACCGCGGTGTTTCGGGGAATCCCCAAGGACGCGGCGAATAGCTAGATTCCGTCGGGTTACTCGAGAATCGCCGGAACGTCGATAGAGGGAAAGGGATCAGCGGAGCACGGCTGATGTATGGGCTGATAATTAGCCCTTGACGGACCGGAAGTATTTCAAGCTACCGCGAAAAAATAGTGACGTAGATAACGAGAACGAATTCATAGCGATCTAGTACGGTAACGCGTTGATCGTAAATGTAACGATAATGGAGATAATGATAGATGTTTGCCGCCGTACACGTTGGAGCCAAATTAGTGCCTCTGATGTGGTATCGGTTCGTTAATGGTTAGCAATATGCGAATTCGTACGTATTATCGGGTGGATTTCCGATCGAGGAAATCGAAAGATGGAGGATGGTCTCTCGAAGCTAAGGAACACTCGAGACGAGAACAGATTCGTTTGATAATTGAAGTGTCTCGTAATGAACGAGTCCATTGATTGGTAACTTTTTGAAACTCGAGATGCTCGTGTCGACAGGATTCACTCGAGACTGCTGTAGTATCGAAAATGTATCTAAGCGATGGACTTGCAGGGGATTGATGCACCCTTGCTAGTTTCTAGAAACACATGCGACTCGAAGGGAAGTAGACGGCGATGTAACGAAGCCTTCCGTTTGCAGAGCCTCACCGCAGTGAACCAAGGCGAGTCGAAGGAGCAACTGAACGTCCTGCGTAACCACCTTCTGGCGCTCACGTGCACGGAGCCGCAGCTGCAGTCCATCAAGGAGCGCAGCCTCGAAGTGGCGGCGCAGGAGCCGTCGGTGGTCGAGGTGCTGCAGCTGTGGCAGAGGGTCTTCAGGGAGACGTTCCAGCAGTACCACCGACTGTCGGCCCGCCTGGTGAAGACGCAGGACGGCGCGACGGCGCTGAAGCTCTGGCAAGAGTACCTGTCGCACGTGCAGGACTTCCTGTCCAATGGGGTGCCGGGCGACTACAACGGCCTATCGGAGCACAGGAACCTCTGCGAGGTGCACAGGAACCTTCTGACGGACCAGCAGAACCTGATCCTCACCGTGCGGACCGAGGAGGGCAGCAACCTCTCGACCACGGAGCAGTTCAACATCCTGACCAACCTGCACAACGAGACGCTGGCCAAGATCATGGAGCGGCACGCGGCGGTGCGCGACAGGTTAGCCGCGTGGGACAAGTACAAGCTGGACCAGAGCAAGCTGCTGTCCTGGCTGAAGGACGCCGAGAGGGAAAGAGGACAGCTGCACCTTCGGTTCATCCACCTGAGGCGGCTGGAGAAGATCCTCGAGAGAATAGAGACTCTGTTGGAGAGGATGCCGCAGGGCGAGGCTCAGCTGGAGTCCCTCCAGGAGCAACAGGAGTCCCTCCTCGTCAACTGCGACGAAGCGTTGGCGGTGTCCATACGCATGGAGCACGCGGCCGACTCGCAGAGGATAGCCAATCTGACCGCCGGCCTCGAGACCTGGAGAGACTTCATCCGCAGGATACAGAAGCTCCACGCGGAGTACGAGGAGCAAACGAAGAACGTCGGCGCGACGTTCGACGAGATCAGCCAAGCCCTCAGCACGGCCTTCCACGCGAAGTCCGCCAGCCTGTCGAGGACCAAGGAGCAGCTGGAGTCCGTCCAGCGGCTGCAGACCAGGCTGACCAACATAGCGCCGGAGTTGGAGTCCCTCGGAGTGATCACCGAGCAGCTCAGGGAGTGTCTCAGTCCGTCGGACATGAAGACGCTGAACCAACAGCGGACGCTGCTGTGCCAGCAGCACGGCGACCTGGAGCACCAAGCTGCGCTGCTGGTCTACAGGCTGGACGAACGCTGCAGTCTGTACGACCGATGGAAGGACAAGCTGGGTAGACTGTCCGCGTGGATCGCCGAGACGGAGATCCGCATCCAGGACTGCGACTCGACGACGCCCAACGAACCGGAGGAGACTCTGAAGAGGCTGGAATGCGAGCTGCAGGCGGAGATCGCGTTGAAGCAGCGCGAGCTGTCCTGGTTGCAGAAGACCGGCCAGGATCTGATCGAGGCGGCCGAGGACGCCGAGAGGGAGAAGCTGCAGGAGTCGCTGGACGAGGTGAACGAGAGGTGGGACCGTTTGCTGGCGACAGGCAAAGCCAGGGCCACCAAGCTGGTGGACCTGATGAGGAGGATGAGCGCCGTAGAGAAGAGGATCAACGACGTGAAGAGCTGGCTAGCCGGCGTGGAGGCTCAGCTGTCGGAGACGTTCGTCATCGAGACCGCCTCGCAGAGCTGCGTCGATAAGAAGCTCGAGGACCACAAGCACCTTCAGAAGACCATCGAGTCGGAGCACCCGAACATCAGCGAGGTGCTGACCGTCTGCGAGGCGTTGCTGAAGGAGTGCGACGCCTGGAAGGCGACGTTCAACACCGACCCCATCAGGACAGGCATGGAGGGCCTCGAGCGCAGGTGGATAGCCACCTGCGTCAAGTCCACGGAGAGGAACAGGAACATCATGCTCGCGTGGAGCCTGCTGCAGGATCTGCACAAGTTCAAGGCGGACAACGAGGAGTGGCTGAACGACACCGACCACGCGATCGTCGAGCTGGAGGAGAACCTGGAGGAGATCACGCAGGAGGAGTCGGCGAAGGCGATCAAGAGGGCCAGGGCGATCGTCGACGACCTCGACATGAGGGAAATGATGGTGAAGCTGGTAGAGGAGAACCTCGGCTGCTTATCGAGGACTGGCTTGGAGCCAGATAATCTCAAGTCGCTTATCAGCGACGCGAGGCAGCTTATCGACAAGTGGCTGACGTTCAAGCCGAGAATCAATGCCGTGCTGTCGGCGCTCGAGCAGGACGAGACCAATTATCGCGAGTTCATTCTGACGCACCGTATGGCCGTGTTCGGGCTCACGCAGGTCGACGTGCTGCTCACGAGGATCCAGCACCTGACCGCGCCGGAGCACAAGGCCTGGGCGCAGCGCAGGCTGCACCAGCTCAACGAGATCGAGGAGGAGCTGAGGAAGCAGAACATCACGCTGCAGAAGGCTGACGAGCTCGCCTTGAAGGTGATGAAGAAGTGCCATCCCGACGAGGTGGCCAACGTGCAGGAACTCGTGGACGAGTATCAGCTGCTGTGGAAGGACATCAAGAGCAGGGTGGCCGCGCTGTGGACGGAAATCGAGGGACAGGAACAGGGCCGCGAGGTCGACGAGGCTGTGCAGGTCGAGACGCTGAAGTTCGAGCAGGACACCGCCGTTCAGGTCGACACTCTGCCGAGGCTGTTGAGGATGACGTCCAGCGACGCGTACCTGATGGAGCTGGAGGCTGCGCTCGGCGAGTGCCACGAGGCTTTGGACACTTTGGAGATCGCTGTCACTCCGGATCCAGTCGCTGGGCCTGGCTTGAACGCCGCTGCCAAGAATGTCGTGAGTGCTCGCCAAGTAACCTGATTCCAGCGAATCTTGACGCTTAACCCTTCGATTACCGCGGAATTTCGCGTCGACGTTTATAGGACAGTGTTATCGACACCATCGGAATATTGAATTGAAGGAAATTAACCGTTTGCACTCGGAAGTTTCTCGCTAAACGTGCTTCACGTTTTTTCGCGAGGCGAATGCGATATTCCTCGATACTAACTCGAAGGGAAATCACGTGTACAGTGAGAGACAAAGCTATTTTATTCGAATATTTCACGTATCAAGGCGTTATACACAGTTGAGCGTTAAATATCAGACTTTATAGTTTTACCGCGTCAGATCAAGTGGCGACGGAGTCGCCTTCCGAGTGCAAAGGATTGAAATGAATTAGAATGAATAATAATAGATAGTAAATTAGAATTCGCTTATGTTCTCAGCGAGCTTTGTCGTTATTGTCTTTAGGCGACAACAGTTGCCGAAGGGTTAAGCGCCGAGATAGTTTCATGCCGCATAATGTTTGCAAAGAGAACCGCGGAGTGATTGTTTCAGTTGTGAACGCTACCAGTACTTCCCGTTGCGTAACGTTATTATTTGAATTTTTGAATATCGATATTCCTCAAAATTGTACAACACCAAAGTATCACTTGTTCTATTTTATATTATCAGTCGTGGAGCACGCTTAACGAGTTAATTGCGAAAAATTCTGAACGAATCAAATGCTTCTATAAAATATATTACGGGTTACAATAGATCGCGTTACAAATTATTGAAAAGAGTCACGATTGTTCGAAGTGAAACGTGGAAAACAATCCAAACTTCAACGTCAAACTTACGTTATACGGACGATCATTTTTCTAGTTATTCTAGGAAGCACTTTAGCCGTATTTAAAGTAACAGCACCTCGCGAATTCTCTTGCAGAGCAAATTAATTGGAAGCTGTCAATCATCGATCGAGCTGGTCCGACATCTCCACGGTTTGCTGATCGAGGACGGTAAGCTGAGTCCCGAGGAGGCGAAAGCTAACGAGGTGGAGGCTTTAACGGACAGATACGAGAACCTTCTCCAACTGGCCAGGACCAGGGAACAACAGATCAGAGAGCTCAGGTAGATTCGCCTAGCAAATCATCATCCTAATTGTTTAATTGCTACTAAATCAACGAGCTTCCCCGATCAAGACCATTGAGTAATATTAAACGAGAGATTTTTCACACACAGGTCGTCCAACACCGACACGCACACCTCCCTCTGCGATCAGCGAGTGTTCCCCCTTTCGCGCTAACAGTTTCTCGTTAACGATCATTAACGTTCTCCATTCACTTTAAACCCGCTTTTCTCGCGTCGACGTGGCGCGACTTTGTTCGGACAAAACATCGTGTCGTTTCGTCGTTGAAACGTTCGAGGAGAATCTCTTTTCTCTTCTGTTCATTATGCTCATTTCTTCTTCTCGTTCGTTTCGTTTCGTCGTTGAAACGTTCGAGAAGAATCTCCTTTCTCTTCTGTTCATTAGACTCGTTTCTTCTTCTCGTTCGTTTCGTTTCTTCGTTCAGCTGTTGAAATGAAGGAAAATCATGTTTAAGATCGAATTTCTACTTGTCCAGCGACAACGGCAGATTGACCTGTCCCCTGTGCTCGCGCCGCAACTGGGCGCAACTGGAGAACGACCTGTGGCGGCTGGAGATATGGCTGGAGTTCGCGGAGGGCACGCAGAGCGAGCAACACTCGCCTCCCAACGACATCGACCAGCTCGAGGACATCATACAAGACCACCGAGCGTTCCTGTTGGACCTGGACAGCCACAAGAGCATTCTGGCCAGCCTTAACACCGTGGGTGCTCATCTGGCCGATCACACGGAGGACGCCAGGCGGGCGACACAGCTCAGAGAACGATTGACCGTCGCGAACGAGAGGTGGGACAAGGTTTGCGCGATGGCCGCGCGCTGGCAGGAACAGCTGCAGGCCACGCTGATGTCGAATCACCAGTTCCACCGGATCATTGAGGAGCTGCTCGCCTGGCTGGAGAAAACCGAGATCAGCATAAGGGCCAGCGAGCCGGTTGACCTCACCGAATCGCCGGAAGTTATGACTGCCAAGTACAATAAGTTCAAGTACGTTGGCGTCTTTGTTTGATCCTGTTGTCTCGGTGGTTGTCTCGGTGAATAGTTCGTTGCGGGATTCGGGAATTCGCTATGGGAACATGGGGAGGTGATTTTGGAAAATTGGGGATCTGAGTTTGGTAAACTGGGGAGAGTTAGCTTTGTGAATTGAAGAGTTCGTTTGAAAATTTGAACGGGTGATTTTGAGAAGTTAGGAAGCTAATTTTGACTGTTAGGGGATTCATGTTGAAAAACCGGGGAATTAATTATGCAGAATTGGAGAGGTAATTTTAAAAAATGTAGAAGCTGATTTTGACAAGTTAGGGAATTCCCATTGAAAACCCGAGGAACTGACTTTGGAGAATCGAGAAGTAAAGTTCAGAGTTAAGAGTATCGAGTCAGAAATAAAAAGGAAACGTGACAGGAAAGAATGTATCCTTTCCAGGGAACTGAGAAACAATCTGGAGCGATGCGGGCCCCGCGTCCTCTCGCTACAGAAGATGGCGAACCAGTTGCTGGACGAGAAAGGCGAAACCAGAGCTTGCCTGCTGGAGCTGCGGCTCAGGTTGCAGTCCCTTCGCCGGCTGACAGGAATATACGCCCTGAAATTGGGAGCAGTTCTAGGAATGGACCCTAGGGAAGCTGGCCTCGTGGCCACGACCTCGTCGCTCGCTTCCCTCTCGCAAGACGTAAGCGCCGCCATATTCATTCCGTCACGTATCGTAATACAGAGACTTGAAACCGTAAAATTTCGGCGTTACCTTAACCTTTTGCACTCGGCCGTTTCTCACTAGAAATGTTTTGTTGACGAGGCGAACAGGATATTCCATGAAACTAACTCGAAGAGAAATCACGCGTCGAGGAAAGTTATTTTATTCGAATACTTCGCGTATCAAGGCATTATACAAAGTTCAATTAAATATCAGATTTTATAGTTCTATGGGTCAAATCGAGTGGCGACCGAGAGTCGCCTCCCGAGTGCAAAGGGTGAAAAATCGTGGCGTTGCATCCGCAGGAGCTTTCCTTAAAGTTCATTTCCAGGAATGCGCCAGTCCTCTGCGGCTGCTCGCCGAAACTGGTTCTTGCTTTTTAAATGTTAGTCCTCGGTGTAGACGTACGCACCACGTCGTAGAATCACGTTAAGCGATACTTTGGACGCTGGACACGGAAACCGATAAAAGTCCGACGAGCGAGGAATAATAACGTTGTCCATAACTCGTCGAGTCGTTCTAATGCAGAGCACGTTAAGAAAGGTCATCTTTCGTTTCGTTGGAACTACAGATGTTCATGCGAATTTCCTCTTTTTTTATTATTCGAAGAGAATTAGTCGTTATGCAATTACGAGAGAGAATTCTGCGGAGAAACTTGTTTGCTGTCTGCTGTTCAGATGTTCGAAGAGAATATCCTTTCATCGAGGACTTCTTATCGTTCCGTGCCCAGCAATAGTAGCATTCACACGCACAGTACCTTATTGTTTGTGTTTTCTCTTTTACTTATTGTAGTTGCTCGACGAAGCTGCCTCTGGGACCGTACAGCCCCGCGACGCACCCGGCACAGAGTATGTTTTAACATTTTCCGTTTTTAGTTCGGAGCGTTCCAATGATCATTCCTTTCTTAACACTGGGTTTATAGACATTAGTGTACAGTTGATTTTATTGTCCCTAGAAAAATCGCTGACTCGTTTAGATCTTGAAAATGAGATTTAAAGATCGACGAGAGCATTCGTTAAACGATCTTCCTAAAATTCAATATCGAAATCGATGTAATCGTAAGCCCAGTGTTAAATTCATCTTGTATCTCGAGACTCCGATAAGTAGTTCCGTTCACTCTATAGAAAGACTTGAAAAGTTGAAACAAAGTCCGCGAAAGGTTCCATCTATCCGTCTGCGTATCTCGTCGGTTATTGTCGGGAGGAATATTAACGAGAACCACGAAAAAAACACGTGTTACAGTGGTGACGATGGCCAACTAACGGTATTATCTCGGGGATACCGTTTCCTGGGCCGAGTGCTGCGCATCTCCCTGCCGATCCAAGCGCTGATGCTGGTGGTCCTCGGCTTCGCCTCGCTGGTCCCGTCCGCCGAAGAAGACTACAGCTGCATGCTGTCGAACAACCTGGCAAGAAGCTTCACGCCAAGAGTCCTCTACCCGAACGGGCCGCCGCCGATTTAATAACAAAGAAAATCGGCCCGAGACGCAGCGACCTCGCGACACCGAAAAGATCACTCGGCCGGGGCCCGAGGAGCCGCGCGAAGTGGAAACGCGAGGCCGCGACGGATCAGCGTACCTATTTAACTAGTCTGTCGCATGGCGATCATCCTGCTCTGGCAAGCAATCGATGAGAAACAGGAGAAAAAAAGTTCAAAGATGCCGTGTCGGGTCCAGGGAAACGAACCTCCGTCCCGACGTTCCTTTCCTCGGACCACCAGCGATCGATCGCCAGCGACGCCATCTTGTCGCTCCGACTGCCGCGCGTAGAAAACTGCTCTCTCTCGGGAGTTATTTCCTCGATCGGACGAAACCGTAAACAAACGTTGACAGATTCGCGACGTTCGTTTGTATTTTTGTTTGATTTGAAATTGGATCCCGGTAGAATTCACGTTAGAAGGAGGTGTCCCGTGGAAATGATGGACTTGTTTGGTTCGCGCGCGCGTGTACGTTCGACGGAGGAAGTAACTCTCGCAGAGACGTTGAAACTCGAGGAGCAGCGAGGGTGTTGACAATGAATAACGATTTTTACACGTGTGATAGAAACCGTTTGTAATTTATAATTAAGCACGTTCTACATGTACGGACCAAGAGGGACGATCGCCGGTTCCGTGCCCGAACCGGCCAGCATCCGTTTTTACTTTATCGTTCTCTGCGTTGAATTTCGCGATCCTCGTGCAATAATAAACACTCGCTCGAAACGAAGGTCCACGACGCGACGACCTAGCGCGACACGACGGATCACCGGTTCCGAGAATTTTTCTGTTCAGCCCGACATTCCATGTAACATTACGTTCGTTATTTATGTACATCACACCGAGAGAGACACGTACACGTATACAAACACACACACACACACACACACACACACAGGTTATTATACACGGTTACGTACATACATAGACACGAATACTTGTAGATAGAAACTAGTTTCCGTTTGATGATTAATCTTTCTTCAATTTTCGTTCCGCGTATTCGACCGAGAGTTTCATTCCGGGGTGAATAGGGGAACGAATCAACGACGACGGGAGAGAAAGTTAATGTCACATGGAATGCACGAGAGAAGAGAGACCGTTGACGATTAAATTAATTTAACGATTATTACGACCGAGAAACGAAATAATCGCTTTGTGTGCACGCACGTACCGCAGCGAAATGCGTTCGAGAGGGAATGTCTCTGTGACCTTTCTGCGGGTTTCGTATTTTTGCTATAGTAAACGTAAAAATGAAAGAAAATAATGATAACTTGTCCGACTTTATTTTTTATACCTTGCGTTTATATATGTATATACCTATACATACGTATACATATATGAACGCGCGAATGATAGATGTAGAGA